TGTATTGAGAATCGGTCAGTCTGAAAAGGCCTTGTAGGGAAGACAATAGGTTTGTTCGTCGAAAATCCAGGGAGAATTATCACTCAAAATATCAGATAGTAAGAAAAATGCTCCCAAACTCTCTCTCATGTAGAGAAGCCTCCAATTTTCTGTACGAACGCAAATTTGCAAGTTTTTCTGGCAGCTACTAGTGTCCACAGTTGCATTTCAAACAAAAGAAATTTCTATAGAATTTTTAAAATTCTTTCAGAGGGGCAAAAAAGAGGATCTACGTGTATTTATCTTGTCAGTCCGACTTTCTTCAACATACGTTTCAATTTCTTTGTCGGGTTTACTATATCGACTCTGGTTGAGATTGCATTCCGATAAGAATACAATTTTTTTTGCCGAGTACCTTGCAAATCAATGGAATTAACTGAATTAATTAAGTAAACAAGTATTAACTTACATTTTTCATTTTAAAATCGCTCAAGTTTGTAAATTTTTAAATTTAACGAACTTGTTTATTCAAATTATCGTCGACAAAAAATCCAACCATGTGCCACAATCATATGTTTTTCCTAATTGCAAATTCTTGCTGGCAAAATTTTTCCCGGTTCGAATTTGTAACTTCTCTCCAAGAAGTAGTCTTTTTACTCGTGATTTATTTAAATGTGTAAGCGCCAATCTATAATTATTATTGTTATGGGAGATGCCACGCCCCCTTTTTATATCGAAACTTTTTTTAGCCTGTAACCATCTTTGGAAAGTCTGCAGTAGATTTCGAAATTTCAAAAAAAATCGGTACGGCCTTTCTCGAGCATTGCGAACAGAAAAAAATGGTTTCAAAATATATACAGTATATTTTGCTTTGCTGCCTTTATGCTTAAGTGAACATTTAAGATATCTACCCCAAAATCCGCATCAGCGGTCCGGCATCCGGTTAAGTACTTTTTTCGGCTAAGTGCACAAGTTTTTCGTGCAAAGAAGGATGGGCAGCTAAGCAAAATATACTGTATTAGTATAGACCAGCCAATATATGCTTGCTTTGTGGCTTAAAACACTACTAACGATAAAAATCGATGGATAAATAAACAAGTTTGCAAGGGTTAAGTGAAAGTGCAATAATCTTTTGTATGAAATACTAGCAGGAAGTAATGTTACTCTTACGCCATATCGTATGTGACCGTACTTATACATGGTGTATGAGTAACTTTTTTCATGTTAAAGTTTGAATTTTTTTCTTTTGTAATACAAACTTAAAATGAAAACAACATATACACAATTAAGTCAGTGCATTTTTATAGATACGCAGGGATTAGTCCAAGGGAACAGCTGTGCCCAAGGCGCCAACAGTCCGGATGTTCTTCACGGTTTCATCTGCCGCGAAGCGCGTTCGCGGTAGGATCTGGAAAATTTAACGGTTACCCTATAAACTGAACAGCTACAGTTTCTTAAAGTCCAATTAGTAATACTACTTAGGTATAAGTTATTTATTCAAGGCAGTTAACAACCAAAAAATTTAACAAAGCTATTGCAATTCAAGAGTAAAAATTTCGTTTTATACATTTTTCGATTACTTGTTAAATTACTTTAAGGAATGGAATTCGAAAAAAATCAATTAAATTTTCATTTCAAAAATTTTCTTTCAAAGGAATTGGAAAAAAAATTACATCTTCATTTCCTTTCAAAGGTATTGAAAAAAAGTTACATTCCTAGCACGTAATTTATTCCAATTACAATAAGAAATTCCTTGTAATGGAATTAAAAAAAAAAAACAATTATATTTGAAATTACTTCAAGAAATTGAGAAAGTAAACATTTCCTTTGCTATGAACTGAAGGAATTGATTCCTAATTACAATGAGGAATGTAATTGTACCCAGCTCTGGTTGCAGGAACCCAATTGAAATATGTACATATATATATTAAAACAAGTAAGAGCAGTGCTGTCTTCGGATATGCCGAAGGCCTCATACCTTTCATGAGCATCTACAAATTTTACCTAACAGATTACTGCATTTGAAAAAATTTGTATATTTACAGCATACATTAAATGTAAAAATCATATCTAAAAAAAAAACAGAGATATTGAAGATATACCAAATATAGCACCAATCTAATTGATTTTCACTGCTGCGTGATCGGTATGTAAACCGGTAACACAATTTAGGGGTTTAGCTTCCTACATAAAGGAGATATATCGCAAAAACTGTTATCTTAACAATCAGTAGTATAGTATAAAGCTTACACAGCATAGATTTTGACGATTTTCTCAGTAGACTTTGTATTATTATTTATAAAATAGCTTACGAAATTTACCGGTTTTGGTTGTCCAAATAAAGGAGTTTTATGGTAAAATCCCATATCTGAACAATCAGTGGTATGGAGCCAATAAATAGGTTATCGTGACTCGATATTTGTTCATTTCATTGTAAAATGTAAAATTGTAAAACTTCTGTTGATAATGAGTGAATATAGTGTGAAATTTCATGTTTCTAGCTGCATAAATAAATGGAGAAGTTATAACAAAAAATCGCATATCTGAACAATCAGTTGTGTGGGAGCTATATGTAATAGTTACCCGATCTTTGCAATTTTCACTGTAAGTATTCTGTTAATAATGGGTGGAAATATTGCGAAATTTCATGTTCTCATAACTAAACAATCAGTTGTATGGGAGCTATAGGTTATAGTGACCGGATCTTTGTAATTTTCACTGTAGGTATTCTGCTGATAATAGTTGGAAGTACTGCAAAATTTCATGTTCCTAGCTGCATAAATGGAGGAGTTATTACGAAAGATCTCTTATTTTAACAATCAGTTGTATGTGAGCTATATGTTATAGTGGCCCGATTCTTCCGGTTCCAACAAATACATTATAAAAATACACCCACCTACCAAATTTCATCCCGATATCTCGGAAACTGGGTGACAAGATTGCATACAAAGAGACGGACATACAGGCACACGGACAGACGGACGTGGCTAAATCGACACAGTTCGAAGTTCTGATCATTTAAGTATACATTTTAATTCTCTCTGTTCTTGTTCTGTTACTTACAAATATCGGACGAAAGTTATATTACCATTTGATGCTCATGAAAGGGATAAAAATATACTATAACGTTCTACAAACGAATGATATATGTACATATGTACATACAAATAAAAAATCTACCACGGGGTTTTATTTTCTGTTACGATCTTCCACCTCATTTTGGGCTGTTTTCTGAAGTAACCTATAACCTTAAAGCTCACTTTATATTTAAAGGTCGGATTAAAAATAAAGCTATGTCTAAACTTAAGAATTTCTATTATCGGTTTTTGACGAACGTATGTTTCTTGGTTGTAAATCAATTTAAAACTTATAATAAAATGTTTTATTTTAGACACAATCATACATTTTAATAGTCATATATAGTTCCTTTGTTTGCATTTATTTTTATTTCTGTTTCGTGAATTTGCATTTCAAATTCCTAAAATTAATTTACTACCTACATACGTAAATATGTGAGTGAAATTACTTTAGTAATATACATAGTAGGCTTTGCAACTAATATGACTTTATTCTATTGGCTCTAATTTAGAAAACATCACGTTGAGTGCTATCCCATGCCGAACGCCCTCAATCCATGTGAAGATGTTATGGGCTACCAATGGCTGCGCATTTCGGTCTGGATTGTTGTTGCTCTGGCTGTGGTGGGAAATGTTGCGGTACTTGTTGTGATTCTATCGATTAGGTAAGTGTATACAATGTATCATATCGTCCTGTTTCTGCCTCAACCTCGTATCTGCAATAGAGGTATTTTAGAGAGTGTAAGAGAAAATGCTTAATTTCTTCCCCTAGGATACAATAAACGCATTTTTACTTAATATTTCTAGTTCCACTAACAGAAGTGAGCACCCTCATTAAGTCTTTGTTCTATTTTAAAATAGTGTGTCGCTTAAACAGCTGTTGTAAGTGGTAATATTAGTTTTCCCAAAAATTGTAGATACGTGGTTAAGGCAGAAACGGGACGATATGTGGTATGTACATACATACCTACGTATAAAATTCGGAAAGCTGCATAACATGCATGCCCATGTATGTACACATACAAACATATTAGGGTATTCACGATCAGGTGCATACTGTCTAGCATGGTGCATAGATAGTATAAATAGCATGATTGTTGTTGTTTCATGTGTTCAAACAACAACAAAATTAGCCAATCATGCTATTTATGCTAGTTATGCACTATGCTAGATAGTACGCACCGGATCGTGAATACCCCTATTCTGATTATATCCAGGGGGATTCAAAACTGCGTACAGATATTTGGCGTACGTATTCCTCGAACCATAACAAACCAAAAGTGTTAGGCGACATTTTACCCCCGGGGCTTATTTACTGAGTTACGACTAGCTGAAGATAAATCGATTAAGCATTGATTTTTGGCTTATTTTGAGCAAAACTTTTTATGTACAAACATAAAGTGCGTTTAGATATAAAGATAATCTCAGTCAAAGCTCGTTTTTTAATCTTCCTGTTTACACATCCAAATCTCAGATTAGGAAAAGTTGTTTTTTCTCTGTGCCACTGCGATCACTTTTTTCTGCTATATTAAGCAATTTAAATACATATATGTACTTTAACTTAATATTTTTCTTCTTTTCCTTGCTAGCGTCCATTTTTGTTTAATTTTATTACAGATTAACGAGGGGCCAGTTCTGTGTGGCTAATCTCTTTTTCTAATTACAGATTATGGAGTTAAGCTCGAAAATGGGGATAATATACATATATGTAGTATTACGCGAAAATATTACCCCAAATTACCAAAAAAAAATATATATATATGATTTCAATGCCTTGATCGATTTATATTGAACTGGCCCTTACTCAGTAAATAGACCCCGGGTAGAAAAATTTCCCTTAACCTATTTTTGTTTGGAGTACGATTGGCAAATATTTTACGGCACCCTGAAATTGTACATATGGAAACCTTGCATAAATACGAAATAATGCGTATGAAACAAGACGAAATAATGCTTACGAAAGAAAATCGAAATAATGCATATATGCACAGTTTCGGTTGAAACCCGAAATAAAACATATATGCACAGTTTCGGTTGAAAACCGCAATAATGCATATTAGAAAAAACCGAAATTATGCATATGCATTATGCATGAAAATCGAAATAAGGCATATAACAACACCGAAGGAATGCATAAAAGAAAAACGAAGTAATGCATACATGCACAGTTTCGGTTCAAAACCGAAATAATGCATATGACGAAAACCGAAATAGCGCATATGTTCTTTCTGCGTAGGCGGCCTTCGGCCGCGCTTAGGGATTATAACCTTTACCAAGTAGAGTTCTCCTTTCTGCATTGCTGGAAAAGGATGGCGAAAGTATTTCTGCGCAGAACTTCTTTCTGCGTAGGCGGCCTTCTGCGTGCGGCATAAAATTGTAACCCTCACTAAGTGGAATTCTCCTTTCTGTGTTGCCGGAAAAGGGGGAGGAAGTATTTTTGCGCGTTGTTCAAACAGGCCAGTTAGCTGAGGCAATTAAGCTTTAAATTGCGGAATTGAGTTTTGTGTTCACATACGAAGTCAGCTGCTGGATTACCTACAGTGATGGAAAAGTTGGTACAACTGTACCTTTATTTAGTTTGAAAGTGCATTCGGTACTAACACACAATTTTAGGTACTTCTCAGGAAATCAGTTCTTATTTTTATTGACATTTCAATGCATTTTCTGTTGCGTGCAACTGGCCCAATTCCTTCCCTCCTTTGTGAAGGGGCATACAAATGATACAAAAAGGTGGTCAAAGTAACGCAACATAGTTGATTTCGCCAGATAGACGGAACATATTTTTAAACGTCAGATCGGAGAACTGGGAGGAAATTAATTCACGTTTTCTAGAACATAGTTTTGTCTCGCGCTGCTCGAAGAGATTCTTTTCATAGCCAAAATTTGTTTAATGTGAGTACAGAAGTTGATGTGGTATCGATGGGAATTTTTATCCTCCTATCTTCTTTATATAGAAATACATATTTACTTTTTGGGTACATCTATCCACTTTTAGATAAAGCTTTCCGTAAATTAGGTACAATTTTATAATTAAATTTTCCATCCCTGATGGAATATCAGCTGTAAAAGAGGGACAGAAACAAAGAGCTGATTGCTCTTTGTTCAATAAACATACCTGCAAGTCAAAATTAAACATACCTAGCAGGGATGCATAGAGAATCCGTCACAAATTAATTGCCAATTAATAATTAATTGGCAATTAATAAATTGATTTTTTGTATGACAAATTGGGTAGCAATGAAGGCTTAAATTGATGAAAAGGTTCTTAATTGCCAATTAGGCCCCTGTTTGAACATAGTCTTAGATAAAAACATAATTATATGCACACTTTCGTTTGAAAACCGAAATAATCCATATGTATGTGAAAAACGAAGTAAAGCATATCTGCACAGTTTCGGTTGAAAACCGAAATAATGCATATGACAAAAACCGAAATAAAGCATACATGCACAGTTTGGGTTGAAACCGAAGTAATGTCTAAATGCACAGTTTCCATATACGCAATTTCGGTGCCCCATATTTTACGCAGTTTTGAATCACTCCGTATACACTAGTGAGAGAATTCATTACTGAAAAGGAAGTGAGTTAGTAGGTAATAGGTTGTGGGGCAAGCATCGAAAACATTGAATTATAAGGACGCAATATATTCTCATTTTCGTTGTTGGTGTTTCCGATTGGGAAGGAATATGATGTATTGAGGAACGATTTTCCGTCATACGCACTATAATTATATCTATGTATGTGCGCTAAAACCATAATTTAGGTTTCTTGTTGTCCTGCTTTAAATTTTAAACTGAAAAAGAAAGAGTTGGCAATAGGTTATGTATAGAAAAACAAGAGAACTTCCACTTTAAAAGTGGAGTTTATTTAAGCTAGGATTAAGCAAGTACTAAGTTAAATTTTGCATTGCTTTGATATATGTATTATAACAGATATGTTAATATTTTTCATACGCTTTGCTTACCCTGAGAATCATGTACCGTTTTGGTACTGGCACCACGGTTACCACATTTGGTCACTTGTGACCAAAATAGGTAACTTTTTGAGAGCTTGGTAACTTTGCAACTTTTTTTTTATTTTGGTAACTTATGGTAAGTTTGCCGTGTATAAAGTTAGACTAAAAATGTTGGACTAAATTTTATAAATTGTACTGTGGTTGTGTGTAGCGGTGATAACACTACTAGAAACAATTGCAATGATCAGGCAATACAGCGCACAAGAAAAATAACACGGTGCTGCAAAAAAAAAGTCATGAAATACACCCGAAACAAAACCTAGGGCAGGTTGTATGTATGGTCGAGTACAACATGAACCCTCAATTTTTTTATACCAAAAAACCGTTATTTTCGTACATGATGCACTTATCTATTAAATGCTTGACTATTTTCCATCCGATTTTAAAAATCGAACAAGTTTTGAAAAGACGACTTATAGACATTTAAAACGATGTATAACAATATATTGTAAGACTTAGCTAGTTTTTCATCGGTTAAATTTTAATGAGCCTCTCTTTTTCTTTATTTTTTGAATTTTGATCATCGCTTATTTCAAAAATGGCTACAAAAGTTGCCAGATATGTGTTATTTGTCAAAAGAATATTTATTTTCGAATAAATTGATTCTTCATCCAATGTAATTGCATACAAATTGTCGAAGTTTAGCAGTTTAAGTAAAAATATGGACTTGAATTTATATGTGTGTATGTACCGGACGTGCAGATTTTTCGGGCAGTGTGGCTAAGGGGCATTTATATATATTTATTAAAAAATGATACATATATACAATGACAATTAAGCAAAAAAATTGGTTTTCATAAAATTTTTGGAAAATGGGCATGGCACCGCCCACATATATCATATATGCGTATCTCAAAAACAACTTGACCGATCTCGACCAAATTTAATATACACATTGAGCTTGGCCTCCTCAAGCACCGTGCTGATTTTGACGTAGAATACGTTTTACGTTTCGACATGGAGGCTATGCTCAAATGTTGTAGTTGTAAATTTTAGAGCTTCACGAAAACACTTATTGCACGAGAACTAATAAAGCGACAAAAGGTGCATTCTTTTGCAACCGAGCTACAAAAAACACTCGCTTAAAGGACGAAAAACACGCAAAGCAACAACACAAACTCGGCTATTTATCCGAGTTCAGCCAGATCGGTTAAAAAATACGCGACCTGAAGGATAATATTGTTAAGTGAAAAAACTGCTCTATTGTTAATGGGAAAGTGGAGAGGAAAATTTGTGTTTCCTTATATATGTGACTTATATTTTAAATAAGTATATATATTACGCAAATACTTCGCATAATTACCCATTGAAATTGCTTTTTGTATCTAATTCCGTTACACTAATCACATGTTTCTTGCCAGCTACCAACAGCGTTGCTTAACTAGCTAAAAGGAAATTTTACCCGAGATGAGCGTTCTTTTGTCGCTCGCTTACAAAAAAATGCTCCTAAATAAAGTGTGGCGTTTCAAAGATAAAATTCTAAACCTATAGTGATGTGCTGAGTCAATACCTTTAAGTATTGATCGATATTCGGTACCGATTTAAAGAGTATCCAATGCTCTCGATGCTCAGTACCGAAACATTTAGGTTTCGAATGAAAAATGTATATATGTCGGTTCAAGGCCATAAATCAAAGAAACTCTTACTTGT